GTCTCAGTTTTCTTTCAAGTTGTACATTTATAATTGAATTTAAGTTTAATTTATTTTGTTTTGTTCTATCCAATATAATTGAGATAAGGACTATGAACATATGGTAATCCTTAGGCTACAGTTGCAGAATGTTAGGAAGGGGCTGTTCCTAGCTTTCTCATTCTTAAGACAAGGATCATGACCTAGTCTACAGAAGGAGGAATCAGAATGACCAGAATGGGATGGACTGGTCCTGGGGTGGTAGACTATAGGTGTCACATTTCTGAATGCAAGAAGGTAGAGCCAGGTAAGCATTTCTCCTCATTATTTTAGTTGTAGCGGTTGTTCTTTTGTGGACAGTTTTTTCTGTAATTGTTCTTCCTGCCTGTAACCTGGTAATGGAGCACTTCACTCTGCCATTTCAGAATTCAAGCTAGAGGTGGGGGTATTTGTATTCATATAAGAATACCTCCACACAGGTGGACTGTCCACTCACCCTTCTGTCCACTCACCTTTCCTATCCCTCTGGAGCTCGCAGTCTTCAACCAACTGCTGGCAGGAGGCAGGATGACGAGCCTCGCTGCCAGGTTGCAGAGTGGCTAATCCACCACGAGCTCCAGGGAGATAGGAAGGGAGCATGGAGCCCGCAGCAACAGCAGAAGGTGAATGGATAGTCCAGACCCTCATTATGTCCACCTCTGCAGGGGTATTTGTATTCATATACGAATACCCCCCTCTCTAATTCAGACTTATCCAGCGTTATATACATTAAATCTTGGAAAAGGTTCTTTTCTGGACTATACTGATGATGCTGGCTGGAGAATTCTGCAAATGACAGCTTCCAAACTCACAAACAAGGTTTATGAGAGTATTCTTGAGGACTCGGCAACTGGACTATTCTTCTTAGATAGGACTATAGTCCAACCTGTTGTCCTCTAGATATTTTGGACTATAATTCTTATCAAGCAGGGGCTGTGCAAAGTGTGGCCAGAGGACCACTTTTAATCTCCTAGATGCCCAATTGCACCCCCAGCATCTCTGGGGCCCCCAAACCATCATCCCTGTGTAAATAGTATCCTTGTGTTGCCTAGGTGGCATGGGAGGCAGTTTTGCTAGCATCTGCTTCCAGTTTTGCAATTTTTATAAAACTGGCTACTAACGGGTTCTTTTCACAATTGTGAAAAATATTTTTGGGTGGGCATGAAGTAGGTGGAGCCATCTGTCCAAGATTGTGAGGATGGCATCCTGAGACTCCTGGACTTGCCCACTCTTGATCCTGACTAAGCTGCCTCGGAGTTAAAGGAATTTAAAAGATGTCTAGTTGCCTGAACTGTTCTAAGGAGCGCCAACCACATCTCCTCTTTTCCACACACTGTCTAATTTCTGTAATTCTGACTGACACTTCCTCCTTCCTCTCCCACATTCTTACAGAGAGATTGAATTTCTCAAGAAGGAGACGGCTCAGCGTCGCATCCAAGAAGAGTCTGAGCTATCTCACAAGGAGGAAGTTGACAAGTTGCAAGAGAAGGTGGGCATCAAGGACAGTGCTGGGAGCTTGCCTTGAGCTCCAAAGAAGGAAGAAAGGAGTGAAGGAAGGAAGAGAGAGGGAGAGAGAGAGAAAGAAAGAAAGAAAGAATAGGTAGACAGACAGAAAGCAGGCCCTGGTTCAGCTCAGGGACACACGCAACACTTGTGCTCTTGGAAGGATGTAGCTGTAAACATGAGCCCTTACCAGAAGGTGAGGAATGGGAAAAAGGAGAGGCCCACCTTTCTGAACTCCATTAGCATATGTTATTAATACTGGGGTGCTGCAGGATCTTGTGTCAAGCATTGGATCACTAATTAAGCAGGAAATCCTGCCACTGAAGGGCAGGAGCAAACGACTTTAATCCTTCTGAATCCCATATTGAAAACTGCGTTCCTGACCCACATCACATGGGATCCTACATTTGGATGTTGGGAATTCTTTGCCTGAATTTTGCTGAATTCTCCATCAAGACAACATGTACCTTTATATGAAATACTAAGCCCATACTGTACCTTCTCCAGACCTTCTGATGTGGGTTCCATATCCCATAATGATCTTTAGGCTTCACTTGTGATCTATAAGTTTATGACCATAGATCAGACTAGTTCTTCTTCGTGGCCTCTATGAATCACACCCTGGGTGATCCATACCTGTGTGACGCCTCATCAGAAGATTCTACATCTTCTGCAGTAGCAATAAACATATTAGAATAAGCCCTTCCACATTTGTATAAGTACCTTGGTGCCAAGCATCCCCTTTCAGTTTCTTTCAACCATTGAGAGCCTCATAGTTCATTCTGCTTCTGTGAGTAAAGTGAAAGAGAGCTTAATCATGATTCCTTTTATTTTTATTTTACTTCTCTTATTACGATTGAAAGTTTCCAAATACTTTTATTAGTGTTTTGTTTTTCTTCTTCTCCACTATCAGCCTATCGGCTGCTCCCCCCCCCCCAATTTTTTTTTTTATTTTTTTTT